TGCAGTTCCTCTTTCTATTCCTGTTTTCAACATGTTCTGCTATAATGTGCCATTCAGTCATAAGACTCTCATTTTGGCGGACAGACATTAAAGCATAAACATAACTAATTCTAACGCATAAACACTTTCAATAAACAATAAATGCATAAAATTCAATACGATTTTTTTTTTTTTTTTTTGCATTACTCATTATGCAATCTATGATTCACTGGCTGTTCCAACTAGTGAGCTGCCTTGTGGTTCACTCGCCATATAAACAGCTGTCTTCTAAGGGAGCATCCTGAAATTAAACTTCATAAGCAACAGATTCTGAACATTGTACAGTTGCTGTTACCATGTGACTAAGCTAATACCTTATACATAGTAAATAGTATACATTTTGGGTAAAAGTTTACCATTATGTAATTAGTTATAGAAATTAAAATATGTCTTCATTATTATTTTATTTGATTAAATTACAGGTATGTGTATGTACACAGTATATACTGAGCTTATTGCAATGCTGGTTGCAATGTTAGTATTGCCTTCTCCCTTAAGTATAAATGTAATGTTACATTATAATTTTACTAAAACAGTATCTTGAAGGTACAATTATGCTGCCTACCTTTTGGAAATTTTGTGTTGGACGTGTGACTACGATGCCTTAAACTGCTGCCTACACAGGCAGTTCTCTAGGTTTGGGAATAGAAAACTAATGATGACCGGTCACTGCAAATAACATATATTTTATACATTCAAAATGCGGATGTATGCATGGCTGTATGTATGTCTTGTGTGTGTGTGTGGTTTCCCTTTAGATCTGCTCTTACACAACCATTGAAATTAAATCATGCATGCTGTGAAGAGAAGGCCTGCAGCATGCTGGGATGTCAATCAGTTTGACTTTAACCCTTGCCACAATTTCCTGGCTTGTCGAGCTCAGGAAAATATAATATACACAGCAAAACCACTGCATTTTAGTGATGGTTTCTGTTAAAAGGGGCTGCTTGAATTTATAAAACCATTTCCTGCACATTATCATTTCTCTAACTGCCCAGTGCACAATTCTACAGGCAATTTAATGCGGACACACACATTTATCATGCATAACCCAACAATATCAAATACAGGAAATGAGGAAATCCTGTGCCATGACTTACAAAATGCTTCCAGGTCATTATGCCTTATTCTAGAGGAAATGGATTATATTGACTGCAGTATTACAGTAAATTTGAGATCAATTTATTGTCTTATTGTATCATCACCACATTCTGCCTTTTATTTTTTTATTTATTTATTTATTGTAGATCAGTACAAGCACAGTAACCTCATCCTGAATCCGGCTGTCAGCAGAAATTATGTCCAGTGTATCTACTGCACCACTAACCCAGACCAACCAGCCAGCTCAAGCCAGACGGAGATGGAAATGATGATGATGAAGATAGCAGTAATGTGCCTCTGGTAAGGAGGCTCTCAGCTCTGAGACACACCCTTCAACAGCAGAATAAGTCACTGAGCACCAGTTTTCTCTTTTTTTTTCCCTAAGATCTCATTTTATGTCTGTTCCAGTAGTGTATACTAGGGGTTGCACCGACTAACCGACTTCAATGCTCTGCCATAACGCTTTAAGCTTGACGTCGACTAGTCGCTGGTCCTATAGAGGGCACAACAGGATAAGAAATCTTTGAAGGACTTCCACCGTTACTCTCCGTTTCCAAACAGTTAAAATGACAAATAAATGCATACCCCGAAAGTGCTCCACAAGACACTATATTACTGGATGCTCGAAATTGAACGGGAGAATGCAAGTTTTAAGCAGCCTATTGTACAGGAAAATGAATCGCCGTTCTAATCTAATGCGCTGCTGCACTGTAACGCACACACATAGGCTACAGACAGTAGCTCGTACATCACGCGCACAGAATCATTCAGCGCGGAAATGTATTGTCAACACTGTTCTGTGATTTCTCAATAAAATAGCTTAGAAACTGAAAAGTTCAAGCATATATTTCTTAACTAAATCCCACAGCTTCACTACTAGTAGAGAGACGCTGCCAGGTAGAATTAATTCACACACGCAATCGCTGTCTCACTAATGCATTCATATTAATGTAATCTTTACTGTGCTACTTTATCTGTATCTGATGTAGAACGAGTAGAAATCTGTGAGAAATATAACGACCCAAAGACAAAAGAACTGATAAAAATTTGTTGTTATAGGCGCAATAGCCATATGGGCAGCGCGGTGTCATATGCCATAGCTGTGCACAAGGTGTTCGAGTCTCAGCTCCAGACTTATTTGTTCATTAATGACGTCATCAGCGACTATTCGACTTTGACTCGACTTTCATCACATAAAAGTCGACTTTTACAAATCAGAAGTCGTTCAACCTCTAGTGTATACACTGTGACTTAAAACTTAAAATACACGAAATTATCTTCTGTAATTTAACACATTTTCAAAAGAGAACAGATATTCAATGCAAAATAATGGAAGGTGGGGCTTGGATTTTATTAATCATAAATAAATAAATATCAGCCGCTATTTTTCCATCCAAAGTTACGAATTTAACTTAAGCACAAAATTTGAATTTTGCATAAAAGATTTGTGAATAAAACTTCCATCCAGCGAGACGAAGAGAACAAAATCGTCACTTCTTGATAAACTGGCGCCAAATATCTATAGGAAAAGGGTAATTTGCTGCAGTAGGAAAAGCCACTGTGGGTATTTTTTGTATATAATAAATTACTTTTTTGATGTGCATCGAGGAATTTATTTGGTAAAGGTGTTTCCATTGTAATTTATGCACATATTTCTTATCAGATAAAAAAATAATCAGACTCAGCTGAGCACATAAGTTTTTATGCACATTTTTAGAATGTATCCGCATCTTGGCGTTTTCCATTCAGCATCTTTTTATGCGATATCCCAAAATGCGCATAAAAATAGGTGGATGGAAACTCTTACTGCATTATTTTAACTAAACTACAAACATTACTGAATGTGCCGCTTAAATCTTCATTATATTTAGGCTTAATTATTTAATCTTCAAATCCAAAAGCTGTGGTTTGATTTATTTAAAAGGCGTTTGAGTGCATGCGGTTGGATATTTGGTTTGATAAAGCTCTTATCAACACAAATAAGAAGCATCTGTCAAGTTCCTTAAGTATTTAGATGACATGTTGGGGTTTTCCATCTGATCTTAGTAGTGATTCTGTTAACCCTCTGCTGGTGGCTCTCAACTGTCACTGTCTGATACCAAAGGCATCTAAGCTCTTAAGAAGAATGTTTCCTTATTACCAAGTAGAGACCTAATTTGTATAATTATAAAGAGATGGCTTGACATGCCAGTTATACTGGTTCCCCCCACCTTCTCTCTATCATTTCCTGTCCCATTTCCTGCTATATCTATCACTCAAACGGTAAAAATAGCAAAAGTAAAACAGAAAGAAAAAGCATTTTGTATTGGGCAGTACTTAGTATTCATGGAACAATCACTCACAACAACCAGTGTCACAACAGTACTGATTGGAGGAATGGAGTCTTTTGTAATTGAGTTTGTACTGTGGGGTCAAAAGCAGAGGCAGGGGATAAGCAACCCTAATGCATTCAGTCACACATGCATAACACAGTGTTTCAAACCCCAGAGGGAAGCTTTGAACCTTTGCCTGCACAGCAAACCCCGATGGGCACCGCAAGCTAAAGGAATCATCAGTAATGTACGGCGGTCAAAAGGTTGAAAAGAATATCAAATCCAGATCATCCATAGAACACAAGACAATAATTTTTTTCAATTCTACCCACCCCCAACCCTCATCAGGTGCTGTGAGGCAAGGTCAAAATAAGCTCCAGAGAAGGAGAGGAAATGAGTATAGCTAACAGCCTGAATTCCATTTTCTCATATCTCAACTCGATGGATTTACTTCACACCATATCTCTCTGGCCACACTAATATTAAAAAAGCAATACACTGGACTGCTAGCTAGCAATTGTTCAGTGGCAGATTGTTGAGAGACTGCTAACAGCTAATCATGATCAAATCAACACTTACTATGTTAAATATGCGTTAAAGTACAATGTGACTACCTAGCAAGGGAACATAACTGACCAATCCCGTAGCGCAAAGGTAAATAGCTAATAAGTCACCGCACTGTTAATGCATTCTTAAATAAAAACAAAACGCACTGTTCATGTGTCGTTGCAGTCTCATTCTAAGTCACTGACCTTCTCAAAGAGTGTGACACCCCTATTATTCTCTTTTGAAGTCCCCCGGTAACAGAAAGAGGGAGAGGGAAGGAGAGAGAGGAAAAGAGAGGGGGACCATCTGTCAACTGCCCCAGAGATCAATGGCACCAGCGGCAAGGCTAAATATGTTGCCCACCATGACTTGAAAACATTTCAACCAAGCAAGATTTATTTTTAAGTTCCCGCTGCGACATCAAGCGCCATTTATTTTACTGTTTCTAGTGTGATCTTGTTCACATTATCTACAATAATTCATGCTGAACTGAGGCTTATCATTGATGTAGAATTAGCAAAATATCTACAAAGATATAAGTAAATAATTTTAGCCATCCAAAACACCTAAAGTTGCATATTCTGGAGATTAGGGCAGTGTGTCAACTCTGCTACAATGGTAAGGCAAATACCCCCCTTCCCCCCGATTGGTTTGGTCTCACCCAATACGTGCACAGATGCAAGACATGAGCTTGCAATGTAAACAAAAAGGGATGCGGTGATTGTTCAATAAAACCACGCAGAATAAAGCAACTGAAATAAAGCAACAATTATAATCATAAACATGCAGATGCAGCATCAAGCCAAGAATAGATGTATGAATAGAGAAAGTGTGCATAGTTATGTGAGCAGCACAGGATGAAAAAGAAATAAAAAGCAATGTGGTTGCTAAGCAAGAGCAGGGCTGGGTTGAGCTATGAAAGCGATGCTGGATCCGTCAGCCAGGCAGCATTGCTCATTCTTCTGCATTGCAAGCGGATTAGTGGATATTGTTATTACTTACCCAACATCTGACTGAAGAGAAGCTGCTCCAGGTCCCCAAGTACCGTTACAACCAGTTCAGGGTCCACCTTTAGAAAGGTCTTGTCCCCTTCCTCTGGTTCTGGTGCACCTTTGTCCCCTCTGCCCCCACCTGGGGTGGCTGCTCCTGAGGTACCACTTACAGTTTTCTTACCATTAGCTTTAGCCTTGCTGGACAAGATCTCATCATCTGACTTGCCGTCATCTGCCAGCTCTTGAGCCTTGCTGATGGGTTTGACCTCAGCATAAGGACCCTTAGGTATCCGACTGGCTTTGCCCAGTTTGGAAGGTGGGCTAAAGGGTTTTGGCTTTCCCTGAAACAGTGAATGCTCTGACTTGGAAAGGTTCTTGGAAAGTGGGATACCCTTGCCTGTGCCCCCTCCGGCATCTTTGAGCTTGCCTGACTTGTTCTGACCTGCCCCTGGTTTTTCCATGTCATCCGACCACTTGGGCTGGTACGGGTGCATCTTCTTCTCGGCGTCCGTAAGCACACATAGATTGGTCAAGGACTTTTGCTTGCGCAGGTTACTAGGCACTGGAAGATGACCCTCAGAGTTTCCAGCTCGGTAGACCTTTAGCTCAGCCCGAGGAGTAGCCTGTGGAAGCCCTGACTTGCCCCTTTTCGCAGCCATGCCCCCAACTCCGTTGGCTCCCGCCTGGCCCTGAGGGGTCTTGGCTTTGGACGTTTTGTCAGCTTCAGTCTCCAGATCTACTCCTTGTCCTCTTGGGCTACCCCCAAGCATTCCTCCTGTGTGAAACCATGTAAAAGCATCAGTGAGTCAAATGGTTTTACAATCGAGCAAAATAAGAGACAAGGTGCAAGGTCTGCAAGCTCTGTCGCTTGCTGCCAAATCCTTATCACAGGGAAAACTATCTCTCCAATGACACATACAGAAAGACCAGTCAGTAGATCCTCTATTGAAGAGGTAATCCATATGTCTGGTGTCTTTAGCATGTAAATCTAGCATCTGGCTCCTCTCAGTTAGACTGCCTCAGTTGCAGCTGCTCTAGTGCTACCCAGTCACTCATTTTCTCTCTCTCTTTCTTTCTCTCTCCTCCCTTCAGCAGAGTGTCTCGCTGCTTTGCTGTGCAGCAGCAGAATGACAGAGATAACAGACACAGAAACGGTCCCTCCCCTTGCTCCCCCGCGCTCATTCAACCACACACACACCCTCCTCCTGCCCTTACTCTTCTGGCACTCTCTCTCTTTTCCTCTTTCTCTCTCCAACACACCCACTCTAAAGATGCTATACTGCTCCCCTGCACAAGTGTTACAGTATGAGGGACCTGTGATAAATTACAGTGTCTTTTTAAACAGTTGCCTGCCAGCATGCTTCCTCTACTGGCCCTCTTTGGTTCACTAAAGTGCCCTGTTATCATAAAACCAATAATGTTTTCACTGCAAGGATATGATCACCAGTAACATTATGCTGTCAGACTTGTATTCAATTTAAAAATTGTTACATGGCAGACTTAAATGACTTTAGGATACTCTCTAGAAGCTTTGGGGAAATTGTTTGCTGTTCATTGCTGCTGGTGGCCTGTCTTAAAAAAAAAATCTACATGACACTCCAGGCTATGACAAATGTATAGACAATTAGGCCTTGGTTCTGAAGTGCCAAATTGAATTACCCTCAAGAACAAAAGACTGAGCTTTGGAAGAAACAGCCTCCATTCTGTCAGAGGATGGACCTTATTTTTCGCCAGCTTTGGGAAGGGGATGTCACAACAATACGATGCATACAAGACCGCACACAGTTACGTCCTCTGAAGCCGAAAGGGGTCTAGGCATGTTTGAATCCATTTTGAGAGTGCTCTACTTAGTTCTGTCATTTCAACTCAACAAGGCCAAGCTCTACCAAACAGACTATCCAAGTGGAAATAACTGACCTCATACAAAATATTAGCCCAAGGACACAGGGTTGATAAACCAGGATTAAAAGGAACAACTCAATTTAGTATTCTTTCTACATTATTAGTAGATTTGAAGGCACTACTACTGCACTTACAAAATAAATTCCAACATGTCTCAACATTTATCTGTCATTGAATCAATAGGCTCAAGTACATGCTTTCAAGGTGGTGCATTACCTTATCCATTAATATGCTGGTGTTAATACTTCAGTATCTTCCCATCATGCACTTGATGCACTAATTCCTGAACTTAAAACCCTGTACTGAACAGAGTCGATAAGAAAAATCGCTGAACAACGTCTATGAAAGTTCCGGAAATATCTGCAGATTTTGGCGGAAATCCAAAGGGCAAACGGAAATATTAAAATGCAGCAAATAGCTTTAAATGAAAACACTGTTGGACTGTTATGAACAGTATTCAAAAATATCTCATTTGCATACCACTGGTCAGTCAGTTATTTTTTTCCTGGATCTTACCGAAGACCACCAAAGCATTTAAAAAATAAACTACCTTTCCACCATATTTTCTGAAGAAATTTAATGCTCTGGTTGGTTTTAGCATATTGCTATGCAGTTCCCATGTTTTGGGTAGTTGCTAAGGTGTTGCTAGGTGGTTGCTTACTCTAAAATCCCACCACAATGATACTATGGGCTCTCAATATGGCTTGAGTTAGAGATTTTTTAATCAAAAACTAGCAACACATGATTTAAAGTATCTTTTATGTCCATCTTACAAACAGTTACACAAAGTGTTTACACCAAATATGTTAACCTCATTTTAACTTCACATTTCTAATATCAGGCCTTATATAAGGAAGCAAACAGATCCAAACCAGCAGGCTAGTCCAAAGTTCCTCCCAGTAGACATTAATGTCACACCAGACAAAGTGGAAGGAATAACACACAGAGCTAGATCTGTTCATGGGGGAGCCCTTGCTTATAAAAAGCACTCTGTTTTAAACATGAGCTCAGGATAGCTCCACTCATGTCAAATTCACCACAGGTCGCCACCTCGTCCCTCGCTCGTGGAGCTTCAACACTGAGCCGACTGTCCAGTGCTGATGACCCAGACACCATTGCAAAATTGCTGGACAAACTTCAGAGTTACTTGAAATTTAGCGGAGTCAAACAGTCAAAGTGCAATTATATGTCCCATTTGTCAGTTTGTTTCTGAAGAGACTGCTGTATAATAGTGTCTTGTCTAATGTGTATCAAATTATTTCATATGGAAGGAGTGATATAAACCTGTAGGCTTGTAAATTTATCAAACAAAACATTATCATTTGCAAGAGAAGTTTTGGTATTCCATGTTGACTTGGACCTTTGTCTACCTTTGTCTTTTTTTTTAAGTTAAAATACTGAGTGAAAATTGTTTCAAAGTAAATCTTATGCCATTTTTTTTCAGTGTATTGTTATGTCTTAATATAGCCTACTGTTTACTGCAATTTCTCTATAGGGACAATAAATATACTACTACTAAAACAATTTTCCAGCACAAGACTGCACTAGAAGCTTTACAGAATTATTTCATAAAATGTATTTGATAATAAATGTAGCCATCCCTGTTACCACTGCCATAAGTGTCTAAAGCTCCCAACATATGGAAGCAATATCATAAGGAAAGAAAACAAAAACAATGCTTTATGAGGTGATAATATTATGCTTTCTTTTCATTCAGCTTTAGCCACAAGTTGTGTTTAAAACGTACATAACACTCGGTTGAATAAATGTATCTGTTTACAGTTTCTCAGTTGTTAAACCTTTCTTAACCCTTGTGTTGTGTTCAGAACCCTATCACACTTACGAGTTTTCTTTTGCGCACAAAAAGTATTCTCGAAGCTTCGTAAAATTACGGTTGAACCCCTGATGTCACATGGATTATTTTACCGATCTCCTTGCTACGTCTCTGGACCTTGATCATGGGAATTACATTGCTGTTTATGGGAGGGTCAAAGAGCTCTCAGAATTCATCAAAACTATCTTAATTTGTGTTCCGAAGATGAACGGGGGTCTTACAGATTTGGAACGACATAAGGGTGAGTAATTAATGACAGAATTTTCATTTTTGGGTGAACTATCCCTAGCATACGCAGTTTGCATTCAGTGGATACTCTCCAAAATGGCACCAGGGTGACGTGGAGCAGACAAATTGTTGAATAAAGTCGTTATTTGTTTTCTTTGCACAGACACTGTGCAAAGAAATAACACAGACACTGTCATACAGAGACAATGTCATGCAACAACAAATCTGACCATTGTGACATGAAAAAACAGCACTGCCATATAGAGAACATTTCATGGTTCAACAATATTTATATGCTCTGTCTTTGTGCTAAGGTACGTAGCTCCTAAAGGGACATGGTGGTGGGAAAAAAATTCGGGGTGGGAGAAATTTTTTTTTTGCGTTCTCTCGCAAAACTTTTGCATTCCCTCGAGAAACTTTGTGTTCCCTCGCACAACTTTTGCGTTCTCTCGCAAAGATATTTGCGTTC